TTCCATTCCTACTAGAAACATATGGATTCCAATCACTCCACTTATTTCAACATTGCCACCAGATTTATTAGATTTAGGTTATGCATTTTTGTAGATATTTGAATACACCATTGTTATTTCATTATGATTTTAATTTGCATTTCTCTAAAACCAATGGTGAGAGCATATTTGTGTCATAGTCATCTGTGTGTATTTTCTTTGGTGAAGTGCTTTGCTTATTGGGTTGGAGATATAGCTCAGGTCCTGAATTCCAATCCCAGCACTGCAAAAAATTTATACATGTTCAGCCATTAGGTTATTTTTCTCTTTTTAATGAGTGGCTAAAATCTTGATATAATCTTTATTAAAAAATACAAGGCTTCCTACTAGAGATGTTTATATTCTTGTGGCTTATCTTCATATTTCAGAGGGTCTGAAGACACTTTAACTTTTTGAAATTTTGAAGAAGTCTATAAAATTTACCCAGTGTTTTCATTTATGGTTTGTGCTTTTTATTTGATGAGAAATGTTTAAAAATTAGAAAGTTGTTTTATTTATAAATTAGATACTATGTTAAAAATAATGATGTATACAGTTACGGTTGTAACTGTCTTTGATTTCTATTTATTTTTGCATCTCATATTTCCTCCTGTCAATTTTTTGTTTCTAGATTAATCTTTGAAGTTTACTTATTGGCTGATTTCGAAACTTTCCAAAATAATTTCTGACATGCTTGGGTGAGGCTGGTGCCTGAAACAGAGCAGGGTGTTCCTTTTGTTTGCTTTTTCCCTGTCTTAGGCTCCCCATCGTTGACTGCCTCCCTTCATGGCAATCTATAGGTTGAAAGCTTTTTATTTTTTAAAGTCACCTCATGGTGATGTAACTAAAAGTAAACCGCGCAGATGTAGGTCCCTGTCCTGCACAGCACAGGCCTGCAGGCCCACGCGCTGGACAGCGGGCCACTGACAGCACAGCACTGCAGGGATGGTCCAGGTGACTGACAGGCGCAGGTGGCCAGCCAGCCCTCGTGCAGGCTGAGACCTCCTCTGCTACTTGTTCTGTGCGGAGACCCCAGACTTCCACACTTGGCAGGAGAACAGACTGCGGCCCAGACCCGCCAGAGCCAGGGATCCCCGGAAGGAAGGCGATGCCCGCTCACAGCAGGAAGCTGGAGGGGAGGCTGTGTGGGGGTTTTGTGGCGGTAGTGGTTTATGTTACTAAATTTTGCCATTTTCTTTTCCTACTTATTTTGATGGACATAATGCCTTCAGCGGCTGTGCTGGGTGTACAGAGCCTCTCCTGCAGGCTGGGGCACCCTCAGGATGCTCTTCGGACTTGTCTTTCCCCTTCCTTAGTCAACAGAAAGGTTTTTTTTTAAAGCATTAGGTCTGCTTTAGTTTTGTTTTCTTTTCGATCCTTCCTCTCCCACTCCTGAATCAGTTTCATGAGGAAAGGTGGAAGCTGTCCCGTGTCCACCGCGCATGGCAGGCACAGGACACCCTGCGTGCGTCTCTGTTCTGTCCCCAGTTCAGCTCCAGCCTGATTCTTCCTTTTGCAGTTAGGGACGTCAATTCAAAGCTTTCCTCTGTAGGATGCCTTCCAGACCCTGCCGCAGCTCAAAGCTCATTTAACCATCAAAAAAAAAAAAAAAAAAAAAAAGAAAGAAAAAAAAAAAGATTCTTCTAAAACCTCGGAACTTCAGCTACTTAAATTTTTTCTACAATGATTCCTCTTCTCTCCCCTAGCTATTCACTGTCATGGTTGTCATCTTCTAGGATCTCACTTTTAGACATTACACTTGGGTCTTGAGAGAAATCAAATAATACAATACATAAGATCCATAATCAGTGGGTTTTATCAACTTCTTGTTGTATCTTATCCACCCTTTTGCCTTCCCTTCCCTTCTGATCTACCACAAATTTTATAGTCACAGTAGCAAACTAATTCACTTGGTATGCCATCAATTTCATCAATTTCCTTTTGTCTTCCTTGCTTAGTATATTCTCTCACCTGAAATAAAACCTTGGCTAAACCAATTCATCACCTACTCCTGCACAGAAAAAGGTGGAGAAAAGCATACAAATTTGCTGTCATCTCATGACCACTTGCCCACAGACATATTCTCAGGCCATTCACTATCTCACTATCCTTGACACTGACTTCACAAACTCTCATTCATGAAAACCACTAAAATTTTTTCCATGCCAGCTCTTAGCTGAAGATGACCTTGTTTCCTATATCACTGAGAAAACAATTAACTTCCGCAAATGCCCACCCTGTCTGAGGCCACTTACTGTCTCTTCTTATGTTACTTTGAACGAATGTCCATGTTCCCGGCAAAGTCTAATCCCACCAATTACGAAAGCCCGTTATATTCTCCTATCTGTATTCATAACACTCGTTCCAGTCTATCCTCTAAAGCATTAATTTTCCCTCTCCACAGCATCACTTCCACCAAAAATACAAGTTCATTTGTTCCTCTGTGTTAGCTATGGCCCCTATTCTCCTTTTCTTTACAATACCCCTGGACAGAGAAGATTCCAAAATCTCTGCTCTCAGTATCATTTAAATCCAATCCAACCAAGCCTTTGCCCTTATTATTTCATCAAAACTGCTCTTATCAAGTCCAGAAGTCAATTCTCTTGCTATCTTTGTATTTCCATGGTCTGAAAATTATTCATCTCCTGATAAAGACTGTGAAATCTGAGTGGAGGTATTATATCTCTCCTCTCTTGTATTTTAAATATGATATTTCACATGTAATCCTTAAAGTGTCTATTGAATGAGTTGACCAAAGATGCTTCTTTAATATCCAGGAATGAGAAAACAAAATAGGAGCATACTATTATTTAATAATCATAAATTTAGACAGAATACTGCCAGGAAGTTTAGAACCATTTCTGAGACTTACTTTAAGTTCCTAGATACTTTAGATACCTTAAAAATCATGAGGGAGCAACTACAAATATAAAATATTATTATTTTTTGCAGTGCTGGGGATGTAGCCCAGGCCTTGTGATATTAGGCCCCAAATATGAAATTTTGAAAGCATAAAATATTTATATATGAGTAAAGTTTTCACAAATTAGTTTGAGTTATGTCATAAAATGTATTTGGAAATTGAGTCCTGTAAAATGCATGATTTGTTGTTTTACAAATTAGGAAATAAAGTCTGTCCTAAGGACTTATTTTAATTAAAAAATACAAAAATAAGAGTCAAATATTCTTGTGCTAATATATATTCTTAAGTACAAAAATAACTCATAATGGTAGCCCTGAAAAGGGTGATATTTTAAAAATAAAATATCTTCCACCAAACAAATGATAAGTCACTCTTCATTAGACATTTGTAATTGATCAAAGGAAAATGAAAGCCACCTGGCTCCAAAAGAAGTCACTTTTTCGAAATGTAATTATTATAATCTAGATCTTACCACAGTTTTCAATCAAAATCACCTATGATATGAAATTACAGTTCCTTCTTCTCCACTTCTATTTTCAATTATTGTGTAACAGGTTTTAAAACGAAATCAAAACAGCAAGGCATGGTGGTATATACCTGCAATCCCAGCTACATGAGAGGCATAGTAGGAGGATCATGGTTCAAGGCCTCCCTGGGTAAAAAGCAAGACCTTTCTTGTGGCAGAGGCAAGTGCAAGACCTAAAGTTCAAACTACAGTACCACCACCACCACCAAATGATATACATGGAAGCAAGTAAGCTTCCACTTTCTTAGGACCAACAGTACTAACTCTGGAACAGAATGGGAAGAAATAGAAACATAAACATGTATGACAGGCCTAATGGAAGTGCTTTCCAAAATTAAGTTGGAAAGAAGACAAAGATTGGTGTTTTGGGTTATCTAGGACTCAACTCCTTATCAGCTGGAGCTAAAATGTGCGCTATGTCAAAAAAAAAAAAACTTGCTTAATTAGTTTTTCTCGACTTTACAATGCCCTTTAGGGAGACAACTACTAAAAACCTATTGTTGGCATTTACAGTATAAAACCTGATATTGGAAAACTAATATTGCAAAAGCCTAAATATCACAAAATTAAACTGTATAGAACCAGCTGTTTCACATGTTAAAAGGAAGAATAAGTTTGTAGATGAGACACTTTTGGTGGAAAAGGAAAAATGCAGTGTTACTTTAAAAATTGTTTCAATGGTTGACATATTTAAAATGAGCAAAGAATATACAATGATCTCTATGACATAAAAAAGCCTGAAATGAGTTGATGACAAAAATTAATAATTTATTTGGTTATTATCTTTCATACAGCAAATATGACAGCCTGATGAGAAAATAGATCTTACATAGTGTATTAATCTTACTGGCAGAGATTTCTATTTAAATAAAACATAGTGCTAGTCATTTAAAATAATTTAGAAATCTATTCCCCTAATGTTTTCAAGTTCAGAACAAATCAAATCTATCATTAAGGGAATGCACAACAAATAACTGTAGAATGTTCATCAGTATGAAATAACCAATCTATCTTTTAAATGAACCATGTAAAGACTACATTTCAAACTGATACAGGTATCAGAAGTATCTCTTAAAAAACAATTATGTCTGAGGACAGCAGTGCTCTTTGCCACTTGTCATGATAAATGTTTGTTCTTTCACATGTAAAATAAGCAACTGTGATATTGTTGCTTTCCTTTACATGCAGAGACATAAAAAATGGAGAAAACAATTGTTTCACTTCCCTATCTCTATGGACTCTTTCTGCCCGCTCAATTATTTAAAATATTGCTTCTTCTTCCCAAACTTATTAGAAAAATATCTTAATCATCTGGTAAAGAAGATGTTGGTTGGGACTAACTCTTAAGCAAAAGTAAGAACGTAAGTAACTTATATCTCAATCTAAAACCTTACAAAACAATGAACTTATAAAACCCAATTCACTTTATGTTACAAATTGTACTAATACTAACTTGAATCTCTTATTATTTTCAAAACCTCTCAGTATTGATTTACAATACATGTCACACAGCACATTTAGACAGATGCAGACTGAAAATAATCAAGTCCCCTTGTTTCCTCTACAAATGAACAAGATGTGACACTGACACGCCTTTCATGACCTATGTGCTCTGCATCCTGATGTTCCTCATGTCTCTCAGCAGCACCGGTCGGTAGTTTTGCTCCAAAATTTCCATGTATTCAAAATAATCTCTCACTCGGAACCCATGCAGCGCTTCTTCCTGCCAAAAAGTATAAAAGGAACTTCATTAACCCAGAGTTCCAAGTAAATAACTTTTAAATAGCAGATGAACCATTTAATTCTAGCTCTCAGTTGTGTGGGGGGGCACTTTATGTTGCTAGAAAATGTATAATTGCTTTTTATTTAGTGGGCTGTGAATATATACGTGTCAGGAATGAACCATGGCTCCATGAAACATGGTTGCCTGTTTTCAAAAACAAAAATGCATTACAGCTAACAATAAAAAAGCAAAACACATGCTTAGATTATGAACTCTTCCTAACATCTTACATACAATAGTTTCAGTTGTTCACATTTGTAACTAGTGAAGACCTTGAACTTTAACAAGCAAAGTATGCTATGATACTCAGATCTTCTCTGATCTACAACTATTGTTCATAAAAGCTCCAGTCTGTGGTTCATAATGCTGGCACCATGCCTTTCAATATTAATTTGGAATTTAATGGTTAGTGTCCCAAATGAGACACTTAGGAATAAACAGCAGGAATATTCACTTAGCATTTTAGAGTCTTTGGGGGAAATCTGACTATTCCTTTTAGTACCTCCAAATACTACCTAATAGTAGTACTTACCTTGCAGGTTTAAAAGAACACCTGCACAATAGTTATCCTTGATTCGATGTAATTATGTCAGGAGTTTTTGAGGTTATAAAAATTTTGGACAATTTACACTGTTCCAGAGTTTATAGTTTAAAGGTAACTATTACTAGCAGAAAAACAATACCAACCAAAAGATTAAAAGGCAACACACTTCATCTACCAGATACTGTGCTAGAGGCAATCAGTTTACTGAGGTGGCACATTAATACGTGTAGCTAAGAAAACACATAATTCTCAGTCATTAGTCACTTATGAGTAATAATCCACAGCTTGAAAGAACCTGGGAGAACTTTGTTCTTATTTTGCCATGATCACTTAAAATCTACGTAATTTGAGGAAAAGGACCTTCTAACAGATTATAACTGATCTACAAGGCTGATGAAAATGGAAGAGACTAAACGATGTTTATATACAACATTGTGCCATGAAGGCCAAGGCTTATTCCCGCCCACAGAAATATATGAACTCCACTTTTAACTTTAGAGTAACAAATATTATTTTATCCATCTCCACTTCTTTTACACTCACTCTATTATTGTAGTAAGATTTTTGGTGATGCAATTAAGACACTAGATGAATGGGATAAGGACCAGTCCTAAAATGCTAACAGCTAAGGCATATAGCATGTGGTCAGTTTTATGTATGAGCAACTGAATCAAAGGGAAGATATTCAGCTGGCTGTGATGGAGCATGTCTGTAATCCTAGCATTCATGAATCTGAGGCAGGAGGATCAAAGGTTCAAGGTCATCCAGAGCTATATAGTAAGACCTTATCTCAACAAAGACCAAAATTTTAAAAAAGAAAAAAAAAAAGAGGGAAGATGTTTGGCTGATGAATGGTAGCATACTGGGTCTCTATGAATTTCTATTAAAAATACTTTAGCTGGACACAGTGACTCATGCCTATAATCCCAGCTATTAAGGATGTGGTGTTTGAGGGGATGGTAATTCAATGCCAGCCTGGGCAAAAAGCTAGCAAGATCCTATCGCAACATACAAGCCAGACATCATGGGGGCATACCTGTAATCTCAGCTATGTGGGAGGCATAGTTAGGAGGAGGGTAGTCTAAGACTGGCACCAGGCAAAAAGTGCAAGTCCCAATTTAAAAAATAACTAAAGCAAAAAAAAAAAAAAGGACTGGAGGCATGGCTCAAGTGGTAGAGTGCTTGATTAGCAAGTGCTAGACTCTGACTTCAAAATACTATACTGACAAAAAAACAAAACAAAACAGGAAAAAAACTTCATTTATTCTTTGGGGAGATGTAGGATAAGACTAATCTTACAGCCCAATAAATCACCATTTATGTATTTATTTAATAGTATTTTGGTTATTTATTTATGGGGATTGAGTCTCAGGCCTTGCATAATGCTCTGCCACTTGACCTGAGTCACACCCTCAACCTTTTGTTTTTGTATTGTGTTCCTGAGATAGGTTCTCGCTAACTTGGCCTGGGCTGGTCTCAAACTCCTGACCCTTCTATCTCAGCCTCCCCAGTAGCTGGGATTATAGAAATGTACCACCACGCCTGGGAAGAATTAATTTTAAACAGTTATTGTAATCATGGAACTTTTATGAATTTATTTCTTTTCTTCAAATTATATGTGATTTGCTTCTGACCACCTCTTCACTAAAAGCATACCTAAATTGGAAAGGAATTACAGAAATGTATTATTCTAAGAGAATAAAGATACAATGCCAGAATTGTTTCAGTATGTGTTCACAATTTTCAAATAAAATAAAAACTTAGTATTCATTAAATGTGAATTACATAGTAGATGACAGCACTTGAACAACAGCCCTAATAATACTTTCCTAGGCAAAAAAAATAAGCAAGATCTATTTAACAACTTTTAATTGTTGTTCTACTTTTTAATTTAAACATAAAACTACCTAGGGAAGCCACAGCTGTTACTTGGGTTAAATATATTTCTTTCTTAGAATGTATTGTTTCAAAACCTAGCTCCCATTTTAGATACTAATTTTAAAGTTAAAAGAAAGTATCCTGACAACTAAATTGAAAAGATACCCATAAGAAAGCAAATAAGGCCATTAAAGATCTCATTTCATAAGAGAAAAATTTAAATATGCATTTTAAAGGAATTTTTTAATAATATAGGTAATTATTTAAAACTTGTAGGCATTTTAGCTCCTAATAAAAATTTAAAATACCTAATCTCACTTTCAGTCTTCAAAGTAGAATATTTTCATCTTATCTTAAATGTTCTCTAATGGCCTTTTTAGTGGATAACTTTACATACAGTTATGACCAGTTATATGGCCAGCTTATCCTTTAAGTTATAACAGATTATTTCATCAATGTCACTTCATTATAATTTCATTTATAGACCTAATATATTGGACTCTTTGTAAATATGAATACCCCTATTCTATAAATAGGCAAGCACATGAATGACATAAGGTTATATTGCCATCCTGTTTTATGCCAACAGTGCAGTATTTGTTTGAGAAAAGATTTTTTAATAGGCCAAAGTGGTTTAAATTTGAGTTAGGAAATTCATTTTGAACATATTGTATTTTCTTTTTGTAACTTATTACTATTCATCCAATGTATGTTCAATGATTTGCTTTCATAACTAATTTCAGGGCTTAAATGTTCAAAAAGCACTAAAAATTACTGTTCTAAACTACAATGTTGTGTGTTCTCAACATTATATAATATGGTATATACATAACTTTGCTCTCTTCTTTGTGCATGTTAATTCAGTTTCAAATGTTATCTACTATTTTTGCAATTAATGGAATCTGCCTAAAATTAACTGATTTTAGGATTTTAAAGAAAACAGATTAGTCAATAAAGGACAATTTGACATAGTAGAAGGAGCAAAGTATTTGGATTCAGACCAAAAAAAAAAAAAAAAAACAGCAGGGGGTTTCAAACCCTCCTAGGTTAAGTTACTAGATGTATACACCTAGGCAAATTACTGATACTCTTAAGTCCCAATTTTTCATGTGCCAATGTGGACCATAATAGCATGGGATGCTCTGTGGGTTAAATGTTCTAAAATCTGAACTCCTTATCATAGGCTACAAAGACTTCTATGATCTGGTCTCTGTCTCATCTTTTATCATTCTTATTCTCTCACCTTGTTCTGGCCACAGAGGTCATCTTAACTCTCTCTAAGGGAGCTCAGTTCATTCTCATCTCTGAGCTTTAAACTTTCCTATCTCCACATTTAGGAAGACTTTTGCCCAGAAATCTTTGTAAGGCTTTTTCCTTTGCATCCTTCAGGTTGCTTCTTGTCCACTCAAGTGGGCTTCATTGGTGTCTGTCTAAATAGCATTTCTGACTCCCTCATCATGTTGGATTTCTTTAAATAAGACCTCAAATATCTAAAATTTTATAAATTTATTCACTATTTCTCTCAGTAGAATGTAAAGACAATGTGGGCAGGGAAATCCCATCTTTTGATTAGAGCCATGCCTGGGATAGAGCTGTTACACAATAAATAGTTAAGTCAAAGAGTGAATAAGGTCCTTTGCCCAGTGCTTGGCATCCAATAACCTTTCAAGGAATCAATGGTGATCACAATAATGAGAACATACTTTTAAATTAACTCTGAAATAGCTGGGGTCCCTATTCCTGATCAGACTGCAGACATGTTAAGCATGGATGATCCATCAAGGGACTATTGACTTCAATTTGGGCTCCTCAATCCTCACCAAGAATATAAGGAAACTAATCATTTAAGATACTGAGAATATTGCTACCTTTCCTTACAAATTCTCAGGAATGTGCCCACTATGGAAAGCAAGATACACCTGTACTTCTAAAATCTCTTTGTATCAGCTGGAGTTTCATAAACACTCTATAAACTAATATGCAAAAGAAATTTTTGAAGTGACTGTCAGTCTTGTAAGCTTGAAATTTAATTTGAACACAGGGTCTTTTACAGTGGAAAGTAGATTATCAGGCCCAGAAAGGGGATTTACATGCCTTCCTTGGTTTTTATGATTTCAGGACTAAGTTTAGATATGTTCTGATATATTCATTTCCAAATATTTAATTATTAATGATTCTGCAGATGAATTTTTAGTATAATGGTTCTTTATTAAATAAATTTTGGAGGAAAAAAATCAACTTTCAGTCGATTAAAATGGTACAGAGTTGACTTACTACAACATGTGCAGAACTTGCTGGTGATGTGGCTCAAGCTGTAGAGCGCCTGCCTAGCAAGCACAAGGCCCTAAATTCAATACTAAACACTACCAAAAAAAAAAAAAGAAAAGTATAGAACATATTATTCACAAGGATTACTAAACAAAGTCTTTGCATTAATGTCTAATCTCGTAAGAAACATCTGCAAGAAGGTGGTTTTCTGAGAGTAAGTCTGCTTTCACAATTTGGTAGGGTGACTGTT